TTAGAGCTGAGGACCAAACCCAGGGCCTAGTGCTCTACCACTGAATAAATCCCCAACCCCAAGCATCATTTTAAAAGCTGGAGAATGTCTCTCTCTTACATCCATCTTCTGTAATAATACGAACCACCTTCTAGAGAACTGTATGTGCATGTCTGTCTCTGAAGGTGTTTCTCATGCCAACCCCATCATTTCTTCTTTCCCTTTTCTTTCTTTCTTTCTTTCTTTCTTTCTTTCTTTCTTTCTTTCTTCCTTTCTTTCTTCCTAAATTAAAAATTTGCAGTTAGTTTATGAAACGACATGCTTCATCATGTCACACTCACGTATGCGTGTCATTGTGCTTTGCTGACTCATTATTGTATTTTGCTGACTCATTGTTGTACTTTGCTGACTCATCGCACACCTCACTGCCCTCTCCCCTCCCCTCATCTCTTTTGTTGGTCCCCTTCCTATGTCCACATGTATATATGTGTCTCCATTCCACATATGAGAAGCATGTGAGATTTCCTTCTCCTCCAGTTTTCCTCTCTAGTTACCCCTATGTCCTCCATATATTCATGTATGTACATATTGAAATAAACAGATACATTTAAATCTAGATTCTGCATATGAGAGAAACCATTAAATTTTTTTTCCATTTTGACTCTGGCTTGCTTTGCTTAGCATGGCAACTTCCAGTTCCAGCCATTTCCCTGTGGAGGAAATGGTATAATTTACTCCTTTATGGTGGATAAAACTTCATTGTGTACAGATAGCACTCATTCTAAAAATCCACTAGTCTGATGATGGGCATCCAGGCTGGTTCCACATCGTCTTGGTTAATGTGCACTGTGCAGCAATGAGCAGGTGTCTCGGTGGTATGTGCATCTGTGCTGCTGCTGATTGAGACCTCCTCAGGTTTACACCCAGGAGTGTGGATGGGTCAGAGAGTAGTTCCAGTTGGTCCAGGAGCTCCATAGCAATTTTCACAATGGCTTCCCTAGTTTAAACCCCCACCAGCAGCGCACCAAGTTTCCTCCTTCTCCACATCCTTACAGACACTTATTTTCCTTTTTATTTATTGTTTTTTACATTCATTTATTTCAGGGGAGCTTGCCCCACTGTGCACCTGTGGAGGTCAGAGGACAACTTATGGAAGTTGATTCTTCCCTTCTATGTGGGTCCAGGGACTGGAACTCAGGTCATCAGGCTTGGTGACAAGTTTCTCCTGGAGCACCTGAGTGGACACCTTGTCACCGTTCTTCTTTGCTTTATTGATAGCCATTCAGACTAGGCAAGGTGCAATCTCAATACAGTATTAATTTACATTTTCCTGAGGCTAAGAATGCTGAACATTTATCCAAATGTGTGCCATATTCTTTCTGCTGCACTCTCAGCTGACCCACATCAGACATCACCACTATACACTTGAACGAACTGCTGTAGCCACAACTGACTTTCATTTCCACTGTTGGCCCTTCCAGTACAACCTCTGTACTGTAGCTGGAATGCCATTTAAACAGGGGACTGGAAATAGGGGACAGAAATCGGGTACTGGAGAGATGGCTCAGCAGTTAGGAGCACCTGCTGCTCTTCTAGAGGCTCCAGATTCAATCTCTAGCACCCACGAAACAGCTCATAACAATCTGTAACCCCAATCTCCGGGAAATCCAACACCCTCTGCTGGCTTCCATGGACACCAGGATACACTCGCTGAACTGACATATATGCAAAACCAAAAAAAAAAAAATTAAACTAAAAATAAAATGGAAATAAGAACCCAGATGTTGGCTCACACCTGTGAGCTCAGCACTTGGGACTCGGGAGGCCAGAGGATCAGGAGTGCAAGCCCAGTCTGGACAAACAGCAAATTCAAGGCAGCCTGAGCCATAGCATAAGACCCTATCTCAAATAAAAAAGCCTCCAAACAAATGAAAATAAGTCAAGGATTAGTTACATCCCATCAACAAAGCTCAAATGAGTTTTGGGACTTCACAGCCTTTGCCTCCTGCCTTTGCCTCCTGCCTTTGCCTCCTGCCTTTGCCTCCTGCCTTTGCCTCCTGCCTTTGC